TCGGGGTCACCAATGTAGTGTCTATTAGGTTTATCGAGGTAAATAAAACTAATGCACTAACGTTATAAAGTCTATATATTAAAATAAGAAATAAATATACAATAATGAAATCAAATAAAGTTACGGTTATACAAAACGAGAAGAGAATAATAATCTCAACCCGCACGCGCCCCCTCGCTCGCCCACACAGTCCGCCACGGCTAGCGATCGCGCGCGCATCGAGATTATTATTCTCTTCTCGTTTTGTATAACCGTAACTTTATTTGATTTCATTATTGTATATTTATTTCTTATTTTAATATATAGACTTTATAACGTTAGTGCATTAGTTTTATTTACCTCGATAAACCTAATAGACACTACAAGTGTATCGTCGTCTGAGTGAGGTTACCGGAGGCCCAATTATCCTCCTCCCCTCCCCAATCCCCAACAATCCTCAAATTCCTAATCCCTAAAAAGCCGGTAACGCAATTGTAACACCTCTGGTGTTCCGGATGTCCATGGGCGACGCCGATTGCTTACCATCAGGTGATACGTCGGCTCGTTTACCGACTTATGCCATAAAAAATAATGGCCTAACAAAAATCGATAACTAAGCGTTAAAATGTTAAGGAAGAGGCTTTTCTTCTGCTGCAGCCGTCTTTTAATTACCTAATGATGATGATGATTTCAAAATAACAAATATTGCATATTCTATAGAATTAGAAGGATATTTTGACTGATGTTCTCTTTACCTTTATCACAGAATCCGGCAAGTTAATAAGCTTACCCTCGACTATCAAACACCAATTCGACATCCTAGATGAAGATTTGAAAAAGTTAACGGACAAAGAGATTGAAATAATCGATGGAAAGATAGAGGATAACAGATCCTATCTTGAGGACTTAAGGCGTATATTGAAACGGAAACAAGTGATACACGCTAAAAAGAATAGGAAGACGTTGGATTTGGAGTCTCTATATCAAATGGCGAAGCGGGATGTGTCGTCCGTCGGTTGTGGGTATTCGGGAGCGAATTTACTTTCGAAGGCGGAATTGCAAGATGTAAAGGACTTGATACTTCACAGGTGTACGTCCAGTGTCCACGGTATTAGAAGAAAGAGTATTAAAAGGAAAGACAAAGGGTCCGGGATAGATTACGGTCTTATATCTGAGGCCATTGTGGCTGAACTGTTGCGAGACGATGGCAAACTTAGTGTCTAGCAATGAAAGAATTGTGTTCTGTTTGTATTTTATATATTTTTTTCAAAGTATAAAAATAGTTCACAGTATTCATGGAGTTTGTATAAAATCTGTAAATATTAACAACGTTTTTTTAACATGATCCAATACTACCTACTTACAAAATTATATCTATTATTTCGAAGTCGAACATACATATTGTTGTGGTATAAAGCCATAATTTTCCCAATATAAGGTACAGAATTACAGATCCCAATTCATCAAACTATTCTACCTCTCTCCACTAGATTTCCAACCCTATAACCTTGTAATAACGTTGAAAATTGATTAAAACTTGGTGTAGCTTGTAGACTATAATGATTGCACAGCCATACTCTTACAAGTAATTCCAGTTTGGACTTACAGCATTATTTGATTACTTATAAACTACTTAGTGGACCTGATGTGATCTCGACGAAACATTCCTTTGATCATTTCTCTGGCACAAAAGCTGGGTCCAGATTTAATTTCTTCATTTCCACAGCCATTTCGAATAAGTAGTCGTAGCACTCGGTCCTGTTTAAAGAAAAAAACGATTCATCAATTCGAATAAGAAATACAAGATTTTGAAGGATGTAACAGTAAGTAAAGGTAAAAAGGTTGTAGTAAAATCATTTTTTTCTAGTTATACGTCTACGGTAGGCAAACATAGGTACATCTACATGCTACTTTTCACTTTCTGGTAAATAAACTCAAGACTATTTATTTGGCTGTGCCTCATGCATAATAATATTAAAAGCACCTTCACGTTAGCATTCGATAAACGTATGCGCCGCTCTATACACGCTAGAACCTAACGGGTAACCGGGGCTCCGGCTCGACGTGCAGGAGAAGGAACGGGGTGGTTTTTAGTCAGTCTGACACTCCCTCCCGCCTCACCCAGGCGGGAGCAGTCATTTGATGATTTTCCCCCCTTAAAAAAAGGCCTATCTTCATAAAATCCATATTTTGACTCTCAGTTGAAAAATTCTCATGGAGCCCCCTCGCCTAGTGAAGGGGACTGAATCCAGAAAACACCAAATAATCTATACTAATATACAAAACTGAAGAGTTTGTTTATATGTACACACTAATCTCTGGAACTACTAGTCTATATATAGATCTGAATGATTATTTGTGTTCCAATACTATCCATAGTGCATTTATGGAGGATCATGCTATGCGAAATTTACTAGCAGCGGGTGAAACCGCGAAATAATCTTACATAGTCTTAGCCTGTTGCCAAGTATCACCCCACACATAGACCCCGTGTCTCCTGACCAGCACTGCACTTGTCCCTGGGTACTGTCGCAACGCCTCGCCAAGGGAACCCGCCAGGTCCTTCTCAAACGGAGTGTTTTCTATAATCGGTACTACCAACTTTTCATCGTAGCGGAGATAGCGGCCTAAGGTAGCATCTTTTATACCCTGTGGATGTCAGAATAAGGTTTATTTTAGCAAGTTATATAACGTATTAAGAAGTTAGGTGAAGTAAAATGAGTAATTTTTACAATAGAAACACAACAATGCATTGATTATTCCCCAAAAGATTAAGTACAGGGGCACATTATAACTATAATACCGACTTTTCACCCATATAAATCTCAAAGTCAATATACCAACTTCAATTATACCAGGAAGGTACTTTTGAACGTCAAACCAAAATATTCAAAATGTCAGTCTGTGGTCAGTCCTGTAGTGAAGCTATTTACTCGTTCCAAAGTGTAGATTCCTATGGAGAAGAATGAAACCTCCATAGGTTGCTCTTTTTTAATCAGGTTCACAGAGAGAGAGAGGATAGGTTCACAAAGAGAGAGAGAGAGAGGATAGGTTCACAGAGAGAGGATAGGTTCACAGAGAGAGGATAGGTCCACAGGCAGTTGCGCTATTAGCTCAATCCAAAGCGTAGTATCCTACAAGAAACGAGTAAACAATTTTATGGTTACTCTTTATCAGTCGAGTTCACAGTAAGGTACCTTGATCATCTCCTGATGCGTAATGACAAACTCCTTGTCATACAGTAGAGTGCAGCGCACTGCGTGAGGCGAGTGTGTGTGTATGACTGCGCCGGCGCCGCGCTCTCTGTACGCCAGCATAAATAGAGGAGTGCACTGACTTTTTTTTAACCTGCAATAGTCATAAATGATTGCAATATCATTATTTGTTAAAACAGATATGGTGGAGGGAGATTTAAGGGAGCTTCGAACTAGTAATTAGCAAGAGATTGATAATAAGTGGGAAATGGTGAAATCTGATATTGGACACAAACCATGTTCGTTGTGAGTTCACCATATAGGTCGTAACATTTCTGTATTCAAACTGCTATTTGCAGTTGAATTGCAGTTAAGTTTGTTGTTGCTATTACATATTTCTTACATTCGCTACCCAAAGTAAATTATAGGCTCTGACAGACGGACTACATTTTAAAACAGAGACCAGCTCTCTGCGACTTTTTCAATTACATCGATCCAAGACATAGTTAACAAAATGCTGTATAAAAAAGCCTTTTAACTATGTGAAACTTACATTTTCTCTGGAGGTGGTAATTCAAGATCCTCATCTTTGATAGTTTGCACAAACAGGTCATCAGATTTCATGCGCTCTTTTTGCACTCCAGATGGCGCTATGTAAATTTTATCTCTGTAAAAAACATAATACATTTTATATTGCAGATGACTTAAATTGTCAAACACTAAGCGGTCACCGGTGACCGCAACCTATTGTTCTATAATTGTGTCTATAATGACAGTACTTGACGAGTTAAACTGTTTATTGTGTTGAATTTAGTTTTATTTTAAAACAAGGATGCATTTAAAACCAATAATGTTTTTCAGTTATTAGGTATTTTAATATTTGATTTGTTGTTGTCTGCTGAGTTGATCAAGTGGGCCTGATCAACTCAATACTTATGGGTGGTTAAGTGACCTGTATTTATGATAAATTATTTGCTTAATGAATGTGTCATGGTGGCCCAGTTTAAGACACCTGCTTTTCATGCATGGAATTTCGGAACTTACCAATTTTAACCCGTATATCCCCAAGCGGTACATTATAGACCTTATTTCCAATGTTTAGAGACTACTTTTGTATGAACAAATTTAATTTAGGATGATTTTCAAAAATTGTCAACGGTTAGGTACCAATGTAACATTTTCCATGTTATGTTTTAAGATCATTTAGTCACCACTAACAAACACTGAAGGAAACCATCATGATGAAACATGGGGTTATAATTTCTAAATATAAGTTTGAAATCGCCAACCCATATTGAGCAAGTGTGGTGATTAATGCTCAAACCTTCTTTGTGTGATGTTTGAGAATATTAGTAGTCATGTTCACTCACCCTTGCTTAATAGAGATACCCCCACCAGTTCCAGTTACCCATCCTAAATGATAGAACTGATTGCATAATTCTGGAATCAAATTCCTTGGGTGTTCCTGAAAATAAAAAAAAACTTATTTTAACTAAAGTGTAAACTTAGTAATTTTATTGTTACTTCGCAAATTATATAAAATTTTCGATTATAAAAGTAAATAATTTTTTTATTTATTATCACGCACCTACGTTGTGGTTTTGCACTGATGTATACATTGGAATATTATTTGCAATAAATTGGTCACATGATTTTAAATATTAGGCGAAGTAAATATAATTATTACCTCGATATGAAGGATTACAATTAAAACTTATAATAATGTAAGTAAAGTATTTAGTTGTTTGCTATTTAGAAATAATACATTTGAATAATTGATAATTTCTTACCGGACCAAGTTCAGCCATGATTTCTCTTGCGTCGTTGTTAGGAAACTGCCGAAGAAGAAATAATGTCTTCTAATATTACTTACTATACCTACTTGCTTTATCTTATCATGGCCGGTGTAAAAAACTAAATAAAAATCATTGCGCTCAACATTTTATCAACAAATATTGCGCTTACTTGACATTGACATCTGACACCTTGACTTTTGTTTGACAATTTCAACAATTTGTCACATCTTCGTCGTTAGGTAACGTTCGGGATCCAATAATTTTTATTCCATGTTCTATAAAATCACTATAAAATAGAAAAACTATTAATCTTTCATTGAATCTTTTGTAGCAAGTACAAAGTACTTGACGGAAGTTAAGTGCTAGCGTTCTAGCGTACATAAATAGTATGGAATGAAAAATAAGGGCGAGAACATACCTACTGTAATTTGAAAATACTGGCATGTTGGACGTAATTATTTCTATAATAGTCGCTCATCATTTCCTTCTCCATAATTTGGTGCACTGTCATCAGTGGAATATATTTATGTCAAAATTCTAGCAATACACACCAAAATTTTTAAAAATCGTTTTCTGATGTTATCGACCATGACAAAGAAATTCAAATAAATCGATACTGAGATCACTGGGTAGATTACGTTGGAATCTTTAAATGTAAGTTTTTGGACTTTACCCTTCTTTATTAGGATATTCCTAGCTTTTAAACGAGAACAGGACCTGCGTATGTTGTGTGGTTGGAACCTGTACTCTCAATGAGAGGATTTAGACAATTGGCTTTTCTGTTATGGACAAAATTAATGTCCTTAAAATATTCCTTATTATCATAAGAAAGGGACATAACTATCCTACGACCAATTATATGACAAAAAGTACTGCCTTAGGTACCTACCTCAAAAAACTATGTCATAAAAGCTTTAGGAATGACATGGTACACTTCTATTAGTTTACGAGAGATTGGTTTTCGTGACGCCCGCGGTGAGATAATATTTTCCTTTAATTTTAGAATACTTTCTGATAATTCCCATAATGCGTGAGATACCAGAATGTTTGAATCGCCGTTATCAGATGTTGGACAAGTTAATCAAGGACTTGAGTTCTGCCGGGCCTCCCGAAGAAGCGGTCTCACCGCAACCCAGTACAGCGGGCAACGACGTCGGTGTCAAGTTAATGTGTGATTTCTGGAACATTCTGAAAGAAGACCCAGAATGTGACCTACCGGTTTGTGGACTTTTCATATGTCATGATAATCGCTTACATTAATTTTAACGAACCCATTTTTATACTATTATAGATATAGAGAATATTATAACATTATCTTTTGATTGTTCCAAATTTTGTAGCAAGAAGTACATCAGCGCCTATGTGGTAGAGACAGCGTAGGATTGTATGGTCCCCAGCAAGTAGAGTGTTACCTAGCCTGCAAGAGTAAGTCGAAGGAGAGTCTCGCAAGGCAGAAGCAAGATGCAGCCATGCAAAGAGTCAAACGGTACCCTTTTCAACTTTCAACCTTATGTAGTGTAAAAAGCAACTTGATTAACAAGTCTTGTTGAATTATAATAACAAGTTAACAAAGTCGCCGACAGTCAGCGAGCGGTCATCGCGACACTAAACCAGCCTTATAGATAGTGGAAGACCGTCCGTATCGAGCGAAAACTCGGGGCTTAATATGTGGGTAAAGTAACAATATTTCTACTATATATTACCTAATTCTGTTTATAGGATAACTGTCCCTAAAGAAGGAAAACCAAAACCTAGTTGCCCCGAAGTGTGCCAGAATGATGGTGAAAAGTTACCGCTCACTCAAGTTTTGTTTAACATTAAAGAGGTTGGTGGAGATAAAATCTATTGGAGACATAATGGTAATGAGTCTTAAGCTCGAATACTGAAAAACATATTCAATTTTAACTTACGTACTTAAATATCGTGCAATCTCTGTCATTTTAGAATTTGTAGTCACATGAATTATTGAGTGGCGTTTGAGTATTTCGACATTAATAAAAACTACATAGTTTTTCTCAGTTTGTGAAAGGTCGGAGTTTGAACCCAAGGTTTGAAACTTTTTGTAAGTTACATATATGGGCAGCGGGTAAAGTCGAAGCCTGATTTTTTTCGGTTTGCAATGAAATTGTGCCATCGGATTATAATGCAACCGATGGGAGATTATTAGTTATATCACATGAAGTTTATGTAAAGAAATCACTAACGACGTGCAAAGCATCCAGGATCCTTTAGTCTAAGATGCCCATATTGACACTATTATACTCAGGGTACCGAGTGTAATATATGTATAGGTATCTTAGGTATAAGTGGACTCAGTTTTCGAACCCGTAGTTTACGAGCATCCTAGTAAGCCATTTATCTGAGTAGACTTTTATGACTGAAGCGTGGGTCCAGTTACTGATATACTTTCGTTAACTTTTATACGAAGATTGATTATATTGACATTACATTTTGTTGAAAATGAAAATGTTTAAGTATTTCCATTTTTATCAAAGGCGGCCTCTTTCGATAAGAAATGCCACGTGCGACTTGAAGAGCTCATGTTAACTCAAAAAGAACTCGTCGAGCAAATTCAAAATTTGGAAGAAAAGGAAAGACAGGGCACGGATCTGTTGAAACAGGCTGATTGCATGTGGTGCTGTATGGAAGAGTCGTACAAGAAGAAAATATTGGAATCTCAAAATAGAAACAAAGTGTTGATGGCACAGGTAATACTATACGCAATATCATTAGGTACTTAGGTACCTAAAATAGAATTTCATGTAATATGAAATTGAATTTTAAACTGTTGATTATATTTAGATGAAAGAAATAGACGCGAGTTGTATCAAATGGAGGAAGCATAAGAAAGATCTGGAATTTCAATTAACGAATATAAATCAGTGTGGCGATGACATCAAAGAGAAATTACATCAGAAGAATAACGACCTTAAAGTTATGGGTATGGAGATTGAAGAATTTAAGAGAAGAATTGCAAGTAATACTAAAGATTTGGATGTTGCTAAGAATTCGTATAGATCGAAGAGAGAAGCTTCTGATGTAAGTAATAAATCTACATATTAACAACAAGGAAATTATAAAATAGTTGCAAAACAATAAGTAAAAATGTACCAGAGCTACGTAAACATGGCATAACGGGGGAGAGCTAAATTATTTTTATTTATTTATTTATTTACACTTTTTGTAGATAAACAACGGCGGACTTAATGCCTAGTGGCATTCTCTAACAGTCAACCTTAGGGTGAAATTAATGTAACGTGACGTATGCAACCATAACACATACCTACACAGTTTCATAATGTGCATAGATGTTGTTAGTTTTCCATATATCTAACAGTTTGTGTTGTATTTAAATATAATTTCAGGGAAGAATGGCAACTATGGCTTCTAAAATGAAGAAACTTCAACAAAAGATTTCATTGGAAAAGAAAGCTAAAACAGAAAAAGAGAATGAAGGTTCAAGTTACGTGAAAGAAGCGAGAGAAGATTTACAAAAAATTTGTAGACTCCTTTTACAGAAGAAACTTGAAAGTGAAGATCTGCTTGCTGAGGTAGTCAAGGCTCTTTATGCCTATCTTTTAACGAACAAAAAAAAAAAATTCCTAATTGATTTCAATTAGTGATTTACTACAACAAAATAATACGAAACTCTTTTTTTCTACATACTTACAAACGTAATTACTTATATTTATAATATTATTCATTTGGGCTTCATATTAATTTTTAGAAAGAGGCGTTATTTCAAGAGATTGATCTTCTTAAGCAGACCTGGGATACATGTAAAGAAAAATGTAAGAAAAAAGAAAAAACCATTGCCGACGAACTGGCAAAAATTGATAAAGAGTTGACCACATTTCGGGTGAAATGCATAAAATGTCATCAATGTGTCGACACTGCAGATGTTAGGAAATACTGTACCGATTGTCCAAGATGTTTAGCAGAAAGGGATTGTTTGTACTCAACCGATCATTGCAGTCCTGACCATTCCATGGATTGTGTTTGCATGAGCGTGAAACAGAAATTTTTGGATAATGTTTTTGAAAACATGTACACAGTTTTGGAGAGACAAACTAAAACTTGTCCCGGTAAAGCTGTTGCTGATTGTGTGTTGAATTGTTTGAAGAGAAGCCGCAATGGGAAACTGAATCAGGAAACCAAGAGAGTACTGCAAGATTTTATACTGAGTACTGTGAAGAAGAATTTGAATTTAACAATTGTCGGTGGAGCGGTGAAGACAAGATGCGAGGTACGTAAGATGTGATGATAAACTTCCAGTAAAATTTTTGGATTATTACCATGTTGCATGCTTACTACTGTTTTCCAGATGGACTCGGAAACTTATAAGCAATTGATGTTGTGTCTCAAAGACGTTACTGTAACACGTCCAGTGAAAGAAGATAAGGGCACAGGGGCTAAAAAGGTAAGTGTCTAAAGTATTGTAATGCGCTTACGATGTACCTATGTCAGTGAAAATGTGAAAATTTCAGAGTTTCTGTTTATATCATATTTGATTTTTTTTGCACAGGATCCGTGTAATCGCTGGGGTGGAACTAATGAGTGTAATTGTCCAAAAGGTCCTAAAGCCTGTGTCTGTAATAAAGCTCCAAAACCACCAACTGACCCTTCTTCTTGTGGACTACAACCACCAGATGAGGTAAACTATGAAAGTGTTTTGTAACATTTTATGCTTTTAAGCGCGTAAAATTAATAGAACTAGTTGTGCCTAGAATTTCTTTTTTTTTTTTTCACTTATAACATTGGTGGATCGGTTTTGAAAGAACAAAATAGAAATTTTTTTTTTGTTCTTGTTGGAAGGTAGACATTGGATGTCTATCTTCCTTCTGTATAGGGAATATGCGCCCTAAAGGAATTAATAATACAGGACCCGGAGTCTTGTGAGAAAACGTGTCCACTACGAGAGCCGCTGGCGTGCAGCACAGACTGTGGTATGTTGGGGATGCCGGGTGCGCCGGACAACTGGCGACGCGAGCCATGCGCCGGCCCGAGCTGCCCATTCTCCAAGAATATGCGAGCCGCTCAGTGTGTTCTGGGGCCCGACCCGCTCTCCTCAGCGCAGAAGGCTCACCCCGTGCCACCAAACATACCAAAGAAATCACTAGAAGATAAACCGGTGAGTTTTTAATTGTTCACAAATCTACGTTAGATTTTAGGGTGTACTTTAAAGTAAATGCATTTAGAAAAAAGTAATATATAAATTAACGATGAAATCGGAAATGTAGTAATTCCAATGATTTTAGTGGTAAATTAAAAGCCATCCATGTAAGTCAATAATACTGAGTCAATAAAACCACCAGAAACAAAAAATTGTATTATATATAATTTTTGATATGATGGTTGGAGCAGTATCATTTCGTACAATAGCAATATCGTGCTGGTGATATGGCTTTATTGAAATGAATCCATTAATGTTAGAAAAGTGAAATAAATTAAAATCGTTTTTATGTTCAGGCTACATGCACTTGTGGAAGCAAGGTGATAAAACAATGTCCATGTCATAAAGGTAAGTGACTAAATAACAGTACAGGTATAGAATTTGCGTGGGAGTACAATTCAGTGTAACTAGACATCTCCAGTCGTGACAAATAAACCTCGTTATTTTAGATCGTAGAAGTCATACGCGAAAAAAAATTTTCGAGGAAGTCATGGGAAGATATACTGAGGTGTCACCTATAGAAAAAGTAAGTTTCATGTTTATAGACACCGAGTCCTCCGATTTAAATTATGAAACATGTGATTAGTACCGACTGCGCCTGTTTCAAACATCATATCATAGTAACCGATTTGTATGATAAATTATGAATGTAAATTTTTGCAATAAAGCTATCTATTTTATTGTACATGGTGGTTTTATTTCACACAGTCAAAAAAGTAGCCACCATGTTTGGATGAAAATAAAATACACTATTTCATCTTAGGTATCCATGGCAGTGCCTGATGATGTAATGAATTTGAGGAGAGAAGGAGAATTTGATTGCGATTGCTCTAATTTACCAGTAAGATATTTGTTAGCATCAAAAACTTCTGAAAACAAAATAAACCAATACTGTGCCTGTTCATCTAATTATGTGTCACGAGAAAATAGAGCACCCTTCTTAAAAAAACTGCGAAAAGGAGGACATATAAAAATTTGCAGAAATAATAAAAGTGATCACGGTTCTAGTGGGATTGACATCTTGACACAATTTCCCAATATCAGAAACAATATACCTCGAACAAATAAAAAAACAGGAGACGATATACAAATGATATTGTGTCCTAAATTTTCTCGGGGCTATGACGATAAAATAGGAACATCAATGGGAAATATTAATAATATGAATTATGGTGCTCATTTGAAGTTGAAATATAAGTCGGCTTCAAAAATAGATCAAGATATTAATCCCCACGATGTAAGCCTCGTTGGAAGAAAGGTTTGCGAAAATGTTAAGGAGCTTATGAAAGAAATTGTTGTCCCAGAGATGCCACCAACAACTGCTAATAATATGACTTCTCCTAAAGTTGAATGGGTGAAATTAAAATCATTGTATAAAGAGATATCTTCATTAACAAAGTTGGAAAATTTAAGTTCAGAAACTGTAACCGAAGTGGAAGTAAAATGTGAGACTTTGGAAGCTTCGAAGGATTTCAAATTAATTAGAGTAAATACAAACCAAGTCAAAGCTATTCCTCTAGAAAATGAAATAATTGATACGGAACATATTATTACTATAAATGATAAAGATGGTAACTCTAGTATGTGTTACAATGATGTAATGACAGGGAGTTTTGGTAACGCTCAGATACATAAAAATAAGATTGCCGAAGAATTGAAATTGAAACTGTTAGAGGATATTCGAAAGACTTATAACATTTCTGTTGAAACATCCTTTGAGCAAATCACGGAGCTGGACAAGACAGGCAATTTGAAAAACGTACGCAAATGTTTACGTAATTTGCAAAACACGGCGAAGGAACAAAATAAATGTACTTGTGTTAATACAAAGTGGCAACAGAATGATGGATATGGGAGAAATTTGAGAAACCCTCAGAATTATTTTTCAGTCCATGAACTAAATATTGATACTGATAGTACACATCATTGTTCAGTACTAATTAATGATACCACTAAAAATAATCATAATAAACATAAAGAATATAATAATAAAGTAACGTTTTATAAACAAGTCAAAAGTAAGCTCGATCATATGAAGCAGAACAAAATTAAAAATGCTAATAAAAAACATAGAGCTAAATAAGAACTTGTACGGTGAATTAGGATTGATGTGGAAATAGGGCTTAGTTTTTATTGGTTTTTTGTTACAAATTAATAATTTTACATGTTTTAGGGCTGATTTTTTCATCAACAGGTTTTTTATTATTCGTAGAATGAAACTGATGTCTGACAGTTTTTTAATGGAATTGTCAAAAATTTTAAATTATTTCTCCAATGAATTTGTATGAAGTTGGAAAAATCAGCCCACGGTATCTTACTTAGTAACAGCATATTATAAGAGACACTGTTTTCAGTTGTTTTGTACTCCCATGCAATTCTAAATATCAATGTATATTTGCCTATATATTTTTTATATCAAATTCATAATATTTCAATTGACTTGCAGATACAAAACAACTGAAAGCAGAAGTTACAGAAAGTTGCAATAAAAGTTCATATGCAAACTATCGAAAAATAAAAAAAGATACCCAGAAACTTGAGTTGTCCCGGCAAATATCTGCTGATTCTAAATTAATTCCTAAAGGCCAAAATAAAGAGAGTTGCACAATACAGAAAACTAAAAGTAACGTTACTCGAAGTGAAAATAATAATAAAGACCAATTTAAGGTAGCTATTGAAAATAAAAGTGGGCTGTCAAATAATCAATTTACTGAACTTAAACACACAAATTCTGGCAGGCTAGCGATGGAGCTAGATGAACAGTTAATAGACATGATAGAAAAAAAGAGTCATGAGGATTCTTCTTTATTCATTTCAATAAGAAAGACCACATCCGGTAATCTTTTAGTCGATTTTAATACAAAAGAAAAAGAGTCTGACAATACTCACAAAGTAACAATAAGACGAACATCTTCCGGAACTAGACTGTTAGATATTCATAAAAATGTAATCCATCTTCTAAAAGGGTCGTTAGCTAATAAGTCAGATACTAATATACCGAAAACTATTAAATTAGCAACAAGTCCTAAAGAACAAGACAGTTCCATTCAGGTAATTAAAGATAAAGTGAAGGTTACTGCTTCTCAGCCACATGACAGAAACTTAGGGAAGCAAATAAGACAGCAGAAAGAAGAAACCACGAGTGAGCTAAAAAAAGACAAGGACTCCTGTAAAGATATTATTTCGTCAACCAAATCACAGTTACAGAGTTTAGAAGAATTGAAATTGAGAAAACTTCAAAGAACTGACAAAATAGAACGTCAGAAGTTACCTAGGCAACACAGTTCATTTGTATTTGACTTTAGATCACAATTAAAGAAATTATATAAAAAAGGAAATACAGATGTCGCAGTCCAGATCAAAGGAAAGGACGGTGTAGTCCAGACGTTTTCTACAGTTGTTACTAAAACGACATCAGGTACTATAGCTATTTATGTTGATAACATGACTTCTCTGAAGCATATAAGTTTTATACATAATGAGTATCCGGTACTTTTGTCTAAGATAACTTCTAAAAGTTATTTTGTAAACTTCGATAAGGATGGTCAAGTTTTCAATGCAATCACCAGAAAAACTCCATCTGGAGGAATGTTAGTAATCCCTGAATCAAGAACATTTATTGAAATGCATAGTAAGAGCCATACAAATGATCGTGAATTAAAACTTACAATAATTGGCTTGCAAACTCATCCGTTAGAACTTCCCGCAATTTTACAAACAACACCATCACGAAATTATATAATCGTTTTAAACAAAAGCATTGACAAAGGCAGAAAAGAACATTTAAATGAATTTATGCGGGACAAGAAAGATGTTGTAGTTAATTTGCATAAAAAAGATTCAGATAATTATGTAATTGATTTGAATACCGATGACGAACGTCATTTAATGAAACAAAAAGCCTTGATTTATAAATCATCATCGGGTGATGTAAAAGTATTAATCCAAAAAGATACCTTTGAATCAATAGATGACTTGGTTTCGTTAGATAGTTTATCTAACAATTATGTAATTGGAAAATTGCCTGCTTCAAGTAGGGAAATTCACCGAGGAAATCTTAGAAAATCAAAAAATTTGGACAATAAAATCAGCAGCGATACACAAATTTATGACAATTTAAAAGTTCAGGACAAGAAAGGAATAATTACAGAACCTCCAACTTTTCTTAAAAAAACAGATTCAGGAAAATACGCTGTGATTTTAGATAAAGAGTCAAAAAAGACATTCATACATAACTTACAGAGCTTTTTATCAACTAATTCAGAAGGACTCATTCCAATAAGAAGATCCGATTCTGGAGAAATAACTATAGATCTTAATAGTGGTAACAAATCCAAAGGACCTAAGGGTACATTGAAAATAACTCCATCTGGAAATATCTATGTGATTGTTGACGAAGAGATCATTAAAACCATGGCTGAGCAAGTTAAAAAGAAGAATGCATCTACTGTAGGCACGAGATCGCAGCAGGTTACAGACTTAATCGTCTCTGTTAGTAAAGCAATTGCAACAACATGCAATGCTCATCCAGAAGATTGTGATTGCGATGCATCTAAATGCGTTTGTTCGGATTTACGATTTGAGTCATTTGATTGGTTAACTGGTTTTAAACCGAAAAAAACCAAACCATCTAACTGGAAAAAATCACATCGCAAAACTGGCTCCTCTCATTCAAAGAAACGCAGTGTCGTTGTGAAATCAACTTCCACAGATAAACCACCACATATTAAACACATTAAACCAAATTGTGACTGTGAGTCGAAGTCCAAAAATAATGGAACAACGAAGCAGTGTTACTTTTTAGTTGATTCAGTGTGTCCGTACCATCAAAATAGATATGACGGTGTATCCAATGAGATATTGGAAATTACAGGATTATGTAACCCACACAAAAAATCGAGTAAAAATAGAATTGAGTTTGAAGCAATTAACAATTTACCAAATAAAGGAAAAGGACATCTGGTATGGGATTCTTTAAATAATTTACCACCGCAGCTACCACCCTTTTTATATTTTGACTATCGCTAAAAACCGATTCATTGTTTTTTTTTTGTATTGGTCTATCATCAGTAAGCAAATAACAAAAACAAAAATGTTTTATTTTAATATGAGAATTAATTATGTACCCAAGTGCTTTTTCAATAAAATTTGTAGTCGCATTTATCGAAATTGAAAACAAAATATGTGTTGCCAATTTTATTTCTTAACTTTGTATGATCGATATTGGCATACGTTTCGTTTAGGAGATCGTAATGCTTGTATTCTAAAATATCGCACTAAAACACTACAATTGATGATAGAAGTTCCACCACAATAGTTGTTTATCAGATGGTGTGTATTATTTATGTGCAATCATGTAACTGTTCGCAAATGATTGGTTGCGTCCTTTTGTTAAACATAATATTAATTAATATTCGAATTGTATTTTTCAATTTTGAATACTATTAAATGCTCTCAGCTCAAATCTATGTATTTTTTCTTTATGCGTTTCGCTATTTGGTTATAAGCTATAGTTGAGCGAAGTTGTAACTTATGATTTAAGAAACAATCCTCAATTTTGCTTTGCTCACTGAAGGACTTCAATTTT